GTGTGTCGGTCACTCGTGGTTTTTCTTCTGTCACAGGGAGCTCTGATGTCATCATCCTCCTCTCTGATTTTACCTGCTGTTTCCTGGCCTGCATCCAATGCAGTGATTGGCCAGCTGCAGGACCAATTGGACACCTCCCCTCTGTACATGGACCCTGAGACGCTGAGCCAGCTGAGACTGAACGCCTCCTCGCCCGCTCTGCTCGTGTTCAGACTGCCCTACGGCATCGGGTCTGTTGACTGTTCAATAATTAACCGTTAATGGGATTTCCTGCTGTAAACATTTTATACTGGCATATCAGTCATCCTCTGTCTTGGACTGCAGCTGGTAGTTTTGCTCATTTTGAGCTCAGTGTAGCTCAGTGAACTGAGTTATGAGTCATGTCCTCCAGGAGGCTTTGATCCTGTTGTAATGCTTTCTAAACGGGCCTTGATGTCGCTGTTTGTACATTTTCTAAAAATTGAAATTCAATTTCTCAAACGTCACACGGTAAAGTTAAAGAGGTAATTTTCTAGAAGGGAAATAACCCACACACTTCGTCTGGATGAGCTTTAAAAACACTGAAGCCTCTCCTCCAAAGACATTAAGACTCATCCGTCCTTCCTGGCCTCGTTTGTCGTTTCAGAGCTGATCTCTTGTCAGCGAAAGAGATTCTCAGTGGAAACGGTGAGTGTTTAATCTGACCCAGTGACTGTGGAGCTCATAGACTCTGAAGCATGCAATTCTCACAATCATCTGTGAGCTTTTTATTTGCTTTTCCTGTGACTGTTTTCTCTGACGCGTGTTTTTCAGATGAAGTGATTGGTCAGGTGCTGAACATCATGAAGTCGCAGTCTGTTCCGTATACGGCTATCTACACCGCCCTGCGGCCCTCCAGGGTGAGTCCGAGTCTCATTCAGGAACATTTATACGTGTTTGCAGCCATTTTTCATACCTGCCCCCCTCCCTCCATCTTTCTTTTTTTACACAGGAGGCAGCGTCTCTCTCTGTGGAGGCCGGTCTGGGTGGGGGGCGCTCGCTGCTGCAGGTCAGAGGGGGATACAAGGAGAGGGGTAGAGAACGGGAGAAGCAGCGGAGGATCAAGGAGAGGGCTGGAACGTACCCACCCGTCGAGTTCAAGGTGGAGTCACAGATACCTGAGCAGGACTTTGACTCTGCTTCCTTAAATCATTTCATATTTGTAATCGTGATCATTTATTCATTTGAGCTCTTTTTCCTAAAGGCTGTTTTCTGTTTGACTGTGAATCCCACCAGCAACAAACTGTTGCAGAGGAGACAAAATCAGAACTTTCAAGTCATGAATGAAGTTAACGCGCTGACATTGACACGATGTTGGATTTGCAATAAAAATCCAGAATATTCTCAAACTAATTTGAAACTTGGGTCGGCAGCTCACAGGGTGGCGCTGACGTCAAAGATGCAGAAAATCCAGATGTAAGGAGAACCTTTCTGTTCACTGGTTATTCTGCAGGAGGGGGAGAACAGCTGCATCCTGCTGTGGGCTAAAAGCCTGTCGGTGAGCATCCTCCGCAGCGGTCGCTGGGAGGAGCACGACCTCACCCCGTCCACCTTTGGAGAAGGCGTCACCCCCAAACTCGACGGCTCAAGATGCGACAAAACCAAAGCCAGGTACTTCTTACCTGTGACATAATGCAATATGTAAAAACAATCATTCATTTTCATGCTGTGATGTGAATATCACTTAGCTCTGACGCCGCTCAAACTGGAGTCTGAAATTCAAATGTTTTAAAATGTTTTGTTTTTCATGAAACGCTGCTGCGGGTGTAAATTTCATTTAGTGCGTTTAACACTGGTGGGTGAAATCAGTCGACCAGAAGCAGGCTCAGGGAGGAGCGGCCATCTGCTGTGACCATCGGGGGTGAGAGGAGGAAGACAGGATAAAGACATGCTGTGGAAGAGAG